TCCCAGTTACCTGTTTCCCTTCTAATTTTAACTACATTGGATTCATGGGTACCAAAACCTTTTTCAGTTTATATAATCAAAATTGTCCACTTTATCTTCTGTGATCCTCTCTATCCCTTATTTGACATGATTACTCTCTCACTAAAATAATAAGAAGGAGATGAGTTTGAAAAGAGGCATTACTGTTCTAGGGCATCTCTTGGACGTGGGACCCACTCAACTGCCTTCCCTCTTTGCCAAGGTACCTTCATTTCTTGCCCTGACCTTCTGCCAACTCTTCGTTCATGAAGCAACACTACAAGCAAATATACTCTTAATCTAATCTCCCACAGACCCAGATTCCATGATTGTCTCAAACTATCTATAAGCCTGTGCAGAGGAGAGCTTCACTCAACTATTCTGCCTCAATCTCCCAGCTGGATGGTCCAAATTGCACATTAGATACGAGAGCTAATACTGTTTGTTCACAGTCCTCTCCCTTACTTTCTGTTGCAATAATAGTCTGTGTTCTGGGACAACATGTCCTCTTATAAGGTTCTGCACTCAACTGAGTTGGTCCAAATCAAAGCAAGAAGTCCAGAAAAAAGATCACTTAGGTCTAGGCCCACCAAGGCAGCTGCTTCCACCAAGAACTTCCTTTGAAATTCTAAATGTACCGATATGTTCCTGGAACAGGTAGTCTTATTCACTACAATCCTAGGTATTTATAACTGACACTTTGTTCATAAAAATAGCTCAAATATCATAGTCACCATAAACCTGCTATAGGCATGGCTGAACACTAGTCACACAATCTTTCTAATTACTTCTGTAGAGACCAGGGAGAAACTGGTGTGGAGAGAATCACTGGGTAGGGTAGCTCACAGCCCCAACTCGTTTGTCCTTCAGTAACTGACATCTGACCATCTTTTGTGGACAGAGTTCACTCCTGTGCACACAATAGCAAAAGACTAGCTGACCCCTTCCTGGTGGGTTGGTTTGCTTGTTACTGTTTGAAACTTTCCCTGATTTTTCTCAGCTGGAAATAGCCTGTGTCCTATAGACCTCACATAGTACTTTATCTATAACTTCATTTTCATAATCAATAGATGCCCTCTCATCCTTTACTTTCATAGATGCAATACTCACCTATGTTGCTCGTATTCCTCCCCGTAGGGTTTTATTTGACCCTTCCCTCTCCCTCATATCTCTTACACATATCACCAATTCCTGTCAAAATACCTCTCTGAAATAACCTCTATGGCCATACCTTTCTCTCTGACCTAACTAGTACCACCCTAGTAATAACTATCATTTATACAATACTTTATTTTATCCTTTTTCCTTTTACTTTAGCCCATTTTATTTTATCCTGCAATAGTCTCCTTTAAGGTCTTCAACCCCACTTTACCCTAATCAATCCTTCATTTTACCTCCAGAATAATCTTTTTTTTAAATTAGTAATCTAGCCATGTCTCTCCTCCGCTCAAAAAATCTTCAATAACACCCTAGTGCCTACTGAGTAAAGTTCAGACTTATCTGCGTGGCATTCAAGGGCTACCACAATTTAGCATTGCTCTATTTTCCCAGCCTTATCTCATCGTACTCTATATTCTCTGCTCCCAGTTCCAGCCAAACTGAATAACTTTATGCTCCCCAAAAATCTGAACTTCTGTGCCTTGGCTTAGATTGTACCCTGTGCTTGTAATGTCTCCCTCCCCTCTCTCCATTTGTCAAATTTCCACCTATTCTTTATAGCCTCAATCAAATGCCACCAAAGATTTGGGGAGATCCAGAGTTCCCCCCTTTTCTAAAGTCCTCATTTTGCAGATACTACTCTGAAGGACAGAACTGTAATAGATAGGATTAACATTCTCCTCAATTAAAACATTGTTATCCTACCTAACTGTACAAAGGAAATTAATCTAAGGTGAAATTCCCAGACCATTGTCTTCTGCTCACGCTTAATATAGAGGATATAGATTCTTTGTCTAGCTTTCCCCAGGCTGGGTGTGATTTGGAAGTAAATGATATAATCAAAGTTACATCCCGCATTTGAATAGGCCCACCTCTCATTGTAATATTCATTCCTTCTTATTAATTGTTAACCAATCAGAGTTGATTGCCACCCTCAGGAACACCCACCCTTCCAAAGGCATATAAACTATGTGCCCACCACCATGAGTCATCTTTGGTGCAAGAGAGAGACAGACAAATAAACATTCATTTTATTATTAATAATAATTATTAATATTAATAAAATTATTAATTACCCAGAAGTAAGTCTCTCAAACTTTTAAAATAACTAACATTTAAATAATTCTTACTACGTGCCAGACACTGTGATAAACACTTTATAATTATTATCTCATTTAATCTTCACAGCAATCCTAGAAAATAGGTGCTATTATTATCATTCCCAATTTACAGCCAAGGAAACTGAGGCAAACAGAGGTTAAGTGACCTACCATGGTTCATACAGCTAGAAAATATCTGAAGTCACACTTGAATTCAGGTCTTCCCAAATCAAGGCCCAGCATTCTACCCACCTAGCCACCTAATCCAATAGATTTAATCATCATTTCTATTCAGATACCTCTCAGGTCTATGTATCTAACCCTAGTCTCCCCTGAACTCTAATCCCACATCATCCACAGTGCCTGACATATAGTAAACACTTATTAAATATTTGTTGACTTGACATATTTATTAGCATAGGTAAGACCATGTCAATAGGTATATCAAACTCAATATGTCCAAAACAGAACTCGTTATCTTTCCTCAATAATCTGTCCCTCTTCTGAACCTCCATATTTCTGTTGAGGCTATCACCACCTTTCTTATTCACAAGTTCATATTCTCAGTGGTATCTTAGATTCATCACTCTCACTCACTTCACATATCTTCTTAGTTCCCAAATTGTATCATTTCTATCTCCACAATATTCACTACATCCATCCTCTTCTCTCTATTCAAGCAACCACCACCATTATTCAGGCCTTCATCCCTTTTCTTCAAGATTATTTTTAAGAGACCTCCTAATTTGTCTCCATGACTCAAGTATCTTCCCTTCTACAGCCCATCCTCTATTCATCTTAAAATGATTTTTCCAGAGCCCGGGTCTGGTCATGTAAATTCTCCAAAAAAATTCCAGGACTCCCTATTCCTTCTAGAATCAAATTTAAACTCCTTAGTATAGCATTATTAAGCTTTCACAACCTGTCTACAAACTCCCTACCCAGACTTATTGCATGTGACTCCCTATCACCCAGCAGCTTTCTTGCTGTTTCTAACACATTACTCTTTATTCTTTGAGCTCTCTGACTTTGCCCTGGTTGTATGCCATGCCTGGAACTCATTCCTTCTTCACTACTACATTTTTGAATCCCCAGTTTCATTAAAAACTCAGCTCACGTCACCTTTTATATGGTGCCTTTTTTATCCTCTTAGCTACTTGTAGCCCTGTTCCCCAAGGACTTTGTATTGGTTTTGTAAATAATATACACGTATCTATTTATATGATTTCTTCCCCAATAAAATTCAAGTCCCTTGAGAGAAGGGTCTATTTCATTTTTAACTTTGTACCTCTAGCACCAAGCATAATACCTCATACATTGTAGGTGCTTAATAATGTTTGCTGATTCATTACATGAATTTTTTATCTCTACCTGTGCCTAACACAGTGTTCTGAACACAGTATGTGATTGCTAAAGATGTTTATTTTGCTTCTTGAATGTATCCTATGTTTCTAACGATGGATAAATAAACGTATTTTGTTGAAATTGCATTGCATATATTCTTATCTCTTCAGCTCAAAGAGTGCTTATCATTTGGATTTTCTTCTTTCTCCAAGTCTTCAAGCCTTGCAGAGAAATTATAGAGAACACCCTCAATTGTCATGCATTTTCAAATTGCTATCCAATCATTTGTAAGAGTTTAAAATAACACATAAATGTAGTTGATATTTATGCATTCAATGCACTTAGTAAAGGAACTAGATATCTCAAGCTGCCACAGATGAGCAGACTATATAGGGGAATTCTCTCAATCACAGAACTTTAGAGTTGGAAGGGACTCGAAAGGCCATGTACTCTAACCTAAACCAGAATAAGGATTCACTCTCCAGCATTCCTGACAAATGAGCATCTGATCTCCAGTTAGAGAGAGCTCCTTGGCTTCCAAGACATTCATCCATTTTTTAATAGCAGTAATCATTATCAAATGGAAACTCTGTGTGCTAATCATCAAAATGTAGAGCAAAAAAGAAATGTCAGATAGAAAAACTATATGGGACCCCAAAAGAAGGTGAGAAATGGGATGACTGTAGTACAGTTTATGGTTTGGGCTCAGATGAGAAATGTAGCACCACCAAATCAATCAATAGGAACCTGATATTAGACAGAGTACTCTTTATTTAGAAGCCAGGTAGTATTTTAAGGAGTGGTGCTTATTCCAGTTAACGAGCAAAGAAAAGGAAACATTAAATATTCTATTCTACTTGAGTGTTCCCTTTATAGAAATCTTCTTCCCAATTTCTTCAGAACCAGCTAGGTTTGACTCTTGGATTGCCGCTAAATCAAAAAAAGTGATAAGTGGTGAGCATTAAGACTGCATATGTATAATGTACATCAGAGTGCTTGCCTTCTCAAGGAAGGCAGAAGGGAGGGAGGGAGGGATTTGAAACTCAAAAATTATTTTAAAATGAATGTCAAAAATTGTTTTATTTTTTCCTCAATTACATGTAAAAACATTCTTTAAAAAAAGTGAGCATTGAACATTTCTTATTTCACTCTGATGTGTTTCTCAACTTAGTACCCAGTGGCATGTAGCTAAAGAGCAATCATTCCATGATAGAATGAAGAAAGTATTTATTTTATTGTAACATTTTTAACAAAGGTTATGTTATCTTCCAGCCTGCAAGAACGAAGCTGTGAATTGCCAATATCTCTGAACTTCCTCTTTCTCCCCCCAAAAAGGGGCTTACATTGTAGACAACAGATTGCACTAGAGCTATTCTAAAAATGTCAGAGACATCTTCCCATGAGTCTTTCTATGATTCCCTATCAGATGTTCAGGAAGACACCAAGAATATTGAGTTCTTCTCTGAGTTATCTGCCTTTCTCAGCCAGGAAGAGATAAACAAGAGTCTTGACCTGGCTAGGGAAGCCATAGCCAACTCTGAATTGGAAGATTTTGACTCAGAAAAGGAGATCACTCGTATTTTAAAAACCTCTCCATCAAGCCTCTCTGAAAAAACTCACAAAGAGACCAAACTGGATGAGCAGATGACTTCAGCAACGCCTCAGGAAAACAGACCAACTAGAAATCAGACTTCACCAGAACAAGAATCCCTAGTCCTCCAAAACAGGAGCATCTCTACACCTACTTCCAAGAGAAAACCCACTGGCTCACCTCTGCTGGCTGCCAGTCCTAGCTACATTCGGAGCCTCCGGAATGCTGAGAGACATGGTCCAAAGGCAGGAAACTCAAGTGCTAGGTCCAAATCGGTATATCAGGGAACCCTTGGGTCCCAGAGCCAACTCCGTGACAAGGCAGCTAATCTGATCGAAGAGCTCTCTTCCATATTTAGAGAGGCAGCAAAGCCAAGAAATCTAAATCTAAATGGAGAGTCCTCATCCCCAGATAGTGGGTACCTGTCTCCAAAGAATCAACCATCAGCCTTATGTACTTCAGCCAGTCAGAGCCCAACTGAAGACCACCCAGAAATGGAGACAGAAGTCAAATTATCAGCAGCTAACCACATCAATGACTACTGCCAGAAGAGCCAAGCTATTATTCAGTCTGGCAATGGCATCTTACATAAACCACTTTGTGATCCCATGAACCTCCCAGCTGCCCCTAGATTCACACAGAAATTGCGAAGTCAAGAAGTAGCTGAAGGGAACAGAGTTTATTTGGAATGCCGAGTCATGGGCAATCCAACTCCTCGGGTCAGGTAAGGATTTGGCTTGATTCATATGGTTAATTTTATTTTAAGGTGTGAATGAAAACTTGGCGTTTTGGTCATCTGAGAAACAGAAGGCTTGGAGGGCCTAGAACAATGGGGGAAAAAAAGGAATTAGTTGATGAGAATCTCCCACAGTAACTTTATTACAGTTATGCTTCTCCCTCCTCTTGGAAGTGTATTTATTGACAGAGTCCCCTGTGCTCCTATGTCAGTGGGAAGGAGAAGCACTGAAGAGAGGCAAAGCAAAAAAAGATAGATCAAGAGCCCTCCTCCCCCAACACATGCAAAAAAAAAAAAAAAGAATATTGACTTCTAATTCGATGTATTCAACATGCATTTATTAAGGACTGAGGAGGTACTGGATACTAGCTTAAGTGCTGTGGATACAAAGTCAAAAATAAAACATTCCCTACCCTCAAATAGCTTACATTCTATGGTGAGAAAATAACATACATGCAGAGAAGTGAATTTTTTAATGCTAAGTAATTTCAGGAGGAGAGACACTAACAACAGAGGTAATTAGGAAAGACTCTGGTAGATGGCACTGGAGCTGAGCCTGGAAGGGACGTACAGGTTCCCAGAAGGAATGAGATTCATAGCAATAGCCTTCCTTGTATCTTTCCTACCCCTACCATGAAGAAACCTTCTCGTCTGAAACCTATACTGTTGAATGCCAGTCCTGTTTCAGGATTGAATTTATACTATAGAGAGGCAGCATGATACAGTGAATAGAAAATCTCACACTAGACATTTATTAGCTGAATGACCCTATTTCTTCATTTATAAAATGAGGATAATAAAAGCACCTATTTTATAGAATTTTTGTGAATGTTAAGAGTACAATGGAAAGAGCACTGAGTTGAGAGCCAAAGTACTTGGATTCCATCCTATTTCCAATGATTTTGTGACAATGGGTAAGCCTCTTAGCCACCCTAGATGTCACTAAAAATGAGAGGGTTGGACTACATAGCCTCTGAGGCACCTTCTAGTTCTAAATATATAATCCTTGATTCATATGATTATTCTATATTATTTTAATGTGTGAATGAGAATTTGGCATTTTGTTCATTTGGTGCTTTAGTAGTTTGGTGTTTAAATGAGAGATAATTTTCACTAATGATTCAAGATCAACAGGACTTTTATCAGGAAGCAGAAACTTCTTTATTTTTCCTAATTTTAATCACATCTTCCTCAATTAAAATTAAAATTTGAGGAGTTGGTGTTTGATGTCCTCTGCAAGACCTCTGCATGTCATCCCATGGGCCCAACTCACTCTTTTAAGACTTTTCAGACTGGAGAGTGTCTGAAATCAGTAGGGACTTCACAGAAACTCAGCAATAAGAACAAGAGACACTGAATCAAATTGTTTCTAGCCTGGATCCAACAGCCTGAACTAGACTAGCCTCAAGAAGGTGATGAGGCAACTAGCAGTTTAACCACAAGTCCTTTTTTATCATGTTGATAGAACATAAAACTAGAGGCTAAATGAAGTTCTCTCCCCAATACTCAGAGTGACTTAGCATGCATGGAACTTGGTGCTTCAGTCTCATAGCAGGAGAGATGAGATAGTATAGCTTTATCATATCTACATCAATTTAGCAAAATTTTCCAGACAAGTCAAATCAAAGAGCATTTATTAAGTGCCTACAGTGTGCCAGGCAACCCTATGAGAACATGGGGAAAAGGGTGAGGTGAGGAAAAGGAAGAAATATTTAATCTGTTGATTCAAAAAGAGATGTAATAACTAGCTAGGATTTATATTTATATAACACTAAGCAAGGTTGTGATGATAAAAGTTTAACAACCAGCTCCTAGGGGGCAGGGACATATGTATGACACACTTATAACTTTAATCTATATTTAATGTTTTCTCCACCACTTTTAAAGTCTGGACAATAACCAAAAAATACTAAATTAAGCCCCCATTTGTAGTGTTTGCTAATTCCCAAGGTGTAAATACTCACACTGAAAATTTAACAATTGGTTCTTTCAAGTTTGTTAGAGCTGGTTCCATCATACCCCTTGTTAAGGTTTGCAAGCCACTTAACAAACAATAATAATAAAAATAGATGATGATAGCTAGCATTTATATAGTGTTTCAATGTTTGCAAAGTGCTTTATAAATATTTTGCTTTATCCTCAGAACAACAGTGGGAGATGGGTGATATTATAATCCCCATTTTACAGATAAAGAAACTGAGAGTTGAGAAAAGTTTAGTGACTTGCCAGGGTCATATAGCTAAAAAGTGTCTGAGGCTAGATTTGAAATCAGGTCTTTCTGATTCCAAGTCTAATACTAATCACAACTTCTCTCTTCCTTTTAAGTGTTCATTCCAATTCTGTTCACCAATTATTTTTTTGTTGTTTAGTCATATCCAACTCTTTGTGACCACATGGACCATAGAATGCCAGGTTCTTCTTCATTATCTCTCAAAGTCTGTCCAAACTCATTTTTGTTGCTTCTATGACACTGTCTACCCATCTCATCCTCTGCCATCCCCTTTTCCTTTTGCTTTCAATCTTTCCCATCAAGGTCTTTTCCAATGAGTCCTGTCTTCTCATTATGTCAATAAATTATTTAAACTTCAGTATTTGACCTTCCAGTGAATAGTCTGAATTAATTTCTTTAAATATTGGCCAATTTGATCTCCTTGCTGTCCAAGGGATTCTTAAAAATCTTCTCCAGCAGTACAATTTGAAAAATTCTGCAACACTTGGCTTTCCAAGTCCAACTCTCCACCAATCATTACCTCATAATAGTTAATATTAATAGTTAATTAATAGCTCTTCTCCCTTGTCATTCTACAGGCTAGACTGTGTCTAAACAAACTGATCTGTCTTAGAAAATAATAATTGGGGGCAGCTAGGTGGCGCAGTGGATACAGCACCGGCCCTGGATTCAGGAGGACCTGAGTTCAAATCTGGCCTCAGACACATAACACTTACTAGCTGTGTGACCCTGGGCAAGTCACTTAACCCCATTGCCTAGCCAGAAAAAAAAAAAAGAAAGAAAAAATAATTTATTGGGATTTGCCCAGGTCCAACCAAACCAGAATCATAGCAGGAGCTAAAACAAACCTTGAGTGTGATGCCAGCTTAGCACAGAGCTGTAACTAAAAAGTTTTATGCCTGAAATAAGGGGCAAAACACCTGATCAACTTCAGTGGCATACCACCAAGTCAACCGTTTAAGAAAATATCAAGATACAGGAAGGAGAAGCTGGGTCATATCTCCCATGAGTGGAAACCTCAGTGTAATTTGAGGCTGCAGGAAATGAAGAGGAACAGGATGGAGTCCCAAAGAGAAAGAAACATGCTATCTGGAAGCTTCCCGATTCTTGCTAACTAAATTCAAAGATTTGTTGGTTCTGTGTTGTTGGAGAACTACAGAGACAGCACCTTCTAAATGTTGGTGCTAGAAAATGAAACCTTAGTTACTTTCCCCTAGTTACAGATCTGAAGTAATGCGTTGAGTTTCTGGAAGGCAGGCACTGCATCATTACTTACTCAACAACACGATTGTTTAACAATAATACAAACACAGAGTTTATAACTTTATACTATTACTATGAATCACTTCTTTAAAAAGAGTTACTCAGTATCTTTATATATCATAACAATTTTATTTCTTGATAATTCCTTTGATTTGGGAAGACTCTAGGGAATGTGAAAGAATTCTGTCTGTTCAAAGACAAAGAATCAAAAATCAAAATGAGCCTGACAATGACTAAAGTCCTGGAACTTCTGCTACTGCCAAAATTTAGCTCAAGCATTGTTTTCCTTTGCTATTGTGACTTTTTTTCTGGTGAGTGTGTCTTATTATATTGGCAAGACGGAAGAAAATACTAAGCAAGGCACAAATAACTAGTTATTGACATACATAACATAGAAATTAATTTTATTTGTGAATAATGGTAAATTGGTTTAGTTTAAGGAGGGCAGTGCTGGTAAATATTTAACAACCAGCTCTCAGGAGGGGAGAAAAAAACTTATGCATGACATACTTTTAACTTTAATCTATACCGTTAAAATTTTCTCCATCAACTTTTTAAAGTCTGTACAGTAACCAAAAATACTAAATCAAGCCCTGATTTGTAGTGTTTGCCCATTCTCAAGGTATAAATACACTGAAATTTTAACAGTTGGCTCTTTCAATTTTTGTGTAGTACAATTGAAATGTGTAGGAATTGGTATAGTATGATTTGAAAAAGCACTGGTTCTGGAGTCATAGGACCTACGTTCAAATCCTGCTTCTGAAGTTTACTACCTGTGTGGACAAATAATAGGCTTTTCAAGCCTCAGTTTCCCTATCTGTAGTATGAGGAGGTTGGAGTCCCTTCCACTCTGAGGTCTGTGATCCTAAGTGCTTTAGTCATTTTTAATGACATACTGTATAATTTTCACTCTCTACATAGCAAGGTCAAGAGGACTCTTATTAGCAAGCATAAATTCGTCATTTTGTCTTCATCCCACCATGTGCCTTTCTAATTCAGCAAGCTGACACCAGAGGGCAGTAGAAAGCAATTTAATGCATTCATACAATAAGATGCAGTCTGCACGTGTATTTCTGCTGAAGTTTTTCAAGTTTGCTTTTTCAGAGCCTATCTAGACAAAAATTACTCTGGTCAGGAAGAACATTAGGTTCTAATACGGGTTCTGCCTCTTAAAACCTATGTGAATGTGGAAACAGTCTCTGGGCCTCAGTTTCCTCATTTGTAAAAAGAGCTAGATTAGACTAAATGACTGATTTTATATGAGGCTACATTTATGTCATACTCACTGATAGTAGAACCCTTAAGAACTTTGAAACCTATATTGCCACTATTTACCACTGAGATTCAGCCCCTTTTTGATGGATTGCTGTAGCTGGGTTAATTGTAATGTGACTCCAAAAATAGACAAAAACTACCTGAACGGATTATCAATGCTATGGGGCAGCGGAAAGAGTGCTAAGCCAGGATCTTTGTTAAAATCTTAACTCTGCCACTT